ATGGAATGAATTAGCCATTGTTAATAATCAGCTTCGACAGTTTACAATTGAGGGCCTGGCGGAAAATATGACTTTAGATAATGCAGGGATAAGTAAAGAATATGCAGAACGATATTATAACATGACAGAAGATGACTTGAATAGAGCATTAAATGAATCAAAAGCTGCCCTTGCTGATGACCCGCTTCTTCGGGAAATAAATTCGTCAGCTACACTGGTAATGGAGTCAATGATTGCAGAAAAAGAATCAATAGAGTCAATAAATTTTCTAGAAATTTGGTTGGATGAAATGTCAAACATTTCAAGCGCGTATTTTAATGTTTCAGAGTGCGATGGATACAAAGACTGTGTCCTATATGCTATTTCCGAATTATATACTTCATTTGAATATGAAGATATTCCAAATGTAGACAACATCCGAAAAGCCATTCTTGATTTAGAATACACTTTGATAGATTTATTTCAAATCCAGTCATTGATTGAAGAAATAGCAATCGCAATGGATGGTATCATGTCAAACATAACATTTATCAACGAAGCTAACCCATTCTGCTCTGAAGCACCTATATTTTTGACGGAATTGAAAAACCAAACCGTTCTAAATGGTACAGATGTGTTATTTATATGCAATGTTACCGGATTCCCGTTTCCAAATATAAAATGGTTTATGGAAGACAACCTATTACCAAACGAAACAGCGATGCAATTGGTAATTAATGATGTTTCAGCAAATGACAGCGGCGTTTATAGGTGTGAGGTTGGGAATATTGTTGCTAATCTAACATCGACAGACACCTACCTTCAAGTCTTTACCTACGGTAATTTCAATAAATTCATATAAAGGTCTACATATAAACACAATGATTAATATATACTTATGAAAAGCTGCAAAGAATTGACGAATTTTTATATAATACATAAAATATCAAAATATTTTTTATTTACGTCCGCAAATACAATGCTTTTTTTCAAGTTTGCACTGGTATTTTTGCATAATTGTACCTAACTACGGGTACCCTGAATAAAGCCAACAAAAATTCCATTTAAAAATATGTTTCATCCTCTAATAAATCTGCATTTATTATTTGGACAGCTGTTGTTTTAATTCTTACGTGCTTGAGAGATCTTATTTTATTTAAACATATCAACATATTTATATAAAAGTTACAGTTTCATTTTTAATTTTTATGGGGCTGAGGTTCATCATTATCATTAGTAAATGTCAACAACAAAAATTGCAAATATTGTACAATAAGTAAATTGTTTTATTCACATTCTGGAATTGTTGGTTTTATATTTATTTATGTATTTTTCTTTTTCTGTTATTTTTGCGCATCTATTTTACAATTTTAATCTTTTGAATGATCGGTTTTCAATATAGAACATTTAAAAGAAGCAGAAATAAATAAATACACCAATTTGTTATTTAATTGGCTCTTACATGTACGTTGATTTTATTACTTTCAACATTTTTCAGCCTATTGTAGTGGCATAGAAAATTCCATTACATAATGTTAAATAGATATATAAAATTATAAATGATGTATTATAGATATTACAAAGGATGTATAAAATAATCTTTATTAATATTTGTATTGTAATATCAGATGACGATGAATGCCAAATGGAGAATGGCGGATGTGAACATACTTGTGAAAACTTGGTTGGGTCTTATATTTGTAATTGTTTCGATGGTTACAGACTCAATGGAGATCGCAGGAATTGTGATGGTAACCATTTCACTTTAATTTTATGAAATCGTTTGTTCAAACATTTTGATCGTCATCAAGCAGGTTGTCTTCAAGGCCGGAAAACATCTCTTTGTATTAGATTTTATTGTTTTACCAACAATAAAATAAATATTAAATTCATTTAGGTTTATAAGCATTATTCACATGCCATACTGATTTACATAAATTATTGATGAATTGAAAAAGAAATAATAAGTTGCCCTTTTTCAGATTTAGACGAATGCTTAATTGGTACGTCAAATTGCGAGCAGACATGCTCAAATAATCAAGGATCTTTTACATGCGGATGTAAAGATGGCTTTGAGATTGACAGTGACGGTCATTCCTGTAAACGTAAGTTTTTGTAGTGAATGTAAACACAAACCCATGATGTAAGAACCCATGATGTAAATCACTTATTTACACTTTATGAAAATATATCTAATTTGCTTCATGTAATGACTTTAGTGAGTTATTTCTGTAATTATGTTTAAAAATGCAAGTGGTAGTTGTAAGGAGGTTGAAATTTGTGTAAGATAAAAAATACTATTCATCATGCCGTTTAAGACACTAAATGCCTCCGGAACGAATAAATTAGTACTTGTTACTTCTAAAGGGTAATCATGCGTTTTATAACATTTTAAGTAATAGTTTTTGAGATGTTAGATGCTTGTTAACCGAAAATAGCGCTTTATGTGAAAGTACTTGTCGTAAGAGAAGCAAAATGTAAACGAAGTAGTATTTTCACTACCATACTAAAAATACTGAATCACTGTAACAGTGCAATCTCAATCATAAGCAAAAGTAACCAATAAGTAAATTTTGGAAACTGTAACAGAGCACCAAAAGTAAGAAGCTTTTTTAAAAAGGGCATTTCTGTGACATAATGGGCCTTAAAGATACAAAACATGTATTTGTTATTTTTTTAACTGGTTTTTCGGCCAAAGATTATTAAAAATCCGGGAATTTTATTGACTATTCTAAACTAAAATGTAAATGATATACCTTACTATTCTATGAATAAAATTCTGAGGATAGTTCTAAAATAAAATGTAAAGGGTTGTTCTTGCTATTATGAAAGAAAATGTAATGGATAGTTTTAAAATGATAAAATATACAGTATAGTTCTTTAACTTTCTCGTTAAATTGCTAAGACATTTAAGTTCTGTTTAGCCATCCTCCCTCACACAAGTATTTTACACTGGGTTTAGACGTCATTACTTCTCGAGTAAACTGTTTTTACATACATGTATTTTTTTTTCCAAAAACTTACCAAGTTATAAATTGAGTTCCTTACCGACACAAGAAAGGTTCTCTAAGGAACAAATACATCTTTCAGGGTTCCATTTTCCAAGATTTATAACCATTGTTAAATCTTACCATTGATTATTCTGTCAATTTTATAAGGTTATTTGCGGTTTTTTTTTTTTCGGATTTTCTAAAATGTCAAATGACATTCAGTATATAAAAACACAATTTATATTCAGATTAAAATGAATTGTAGTACAAAATATGTTTATGGAGTTTAAGTTTGGCTTCAGATACCCAAGCTTTCAAACAATTAATATGGAGGGTAAATGTTATGAACCACTTGTAGGTCTAACTCTTGTTATCACAATTGTTTAGTTTGTGAAGCAACGGCCAGTGAATAATTCTTTTAACAGTATTTTATATATTTTCTTTTCATCATAACTGTTTGCAATAATGAAAGATAAATCATTTATAAGTAGTTTGTTATTTTAAACTATCCAATATATTTCTATTCCTATTTGCAATATTCCATATGTGTTTCTTTTAATAATACTGTCAATATGCATATGATAACAAGATTTAAAAAGCAAAGGTAAACATATGTATTAGGGACACATAAATGAATACTGTAAAATAGAAGTTGTCATTCTTTGAAAAAACATAAATGTCAGTATGCTTATTATTTAATTTCTATGCTTACAAAATGTTTTTTTTTCTCGGGAAAGTGTTCTGTCAGCAAATCTTAGAAATGACATATGCAAGTAAAACAGTTTTACTTCGGTCATGTATCTTTTTTAATGATACGTGTTCTTTTTTATTATTTCAGTCTCTTCCGGATTAGATGATCGCATATTAGGTAAACAAAGATTATTCGTCAAGAACCTTAATTATTTTAAGAAACATTTATTGCTTTAATTAATGTTGATAATAATTTCTTTTATTATGATAGAAAAGTACACTTAACAAAACTTATAACTGTGCAGTTTTTAAATGTGAATAACTTTTTTATTACTTGACATTTTTTACCCAAATTTTGGAATTCATCGTTTGAATGGTTTATTTTTAAAATGCTATATTCATAAATAACGGTTATTTTTGTTGTGTGCGTTCATCCGTGACATAAACAACAAAGTGCACGTGAGGATGACAGGTTGGCGCTAAATGAAGTTATTATTGACCATCAAGGATTCTATTAAAATAAAGACATCCAATAAACATAAATTTATTGCAGAATTTTTGCAATTGAAAGAAAAATGGCCGTCTAGAAGTTTTACGCAAGGGAATTTGCATTTCGGGCGCCCATTTTGAAAATAAATTTGCATAATATTTTTCTCAAATAAACATATTGACTAAGATTTTACTTTAAAACTAAAAAACAAACTTTCTTGGTACTTTCATATTAATGAAAATATCGTGTTTGCATTGCTTTTAGTAACTGGGTACAACGCGTTACGGAGATCGACATAAACCAGTCTTTACTAAAATTCAATAAAGCAAATATTAAAATCATAGTGACATAATGCCCTGGAATTCATTGTAGTATTATACCCTATCGGTGATCCTATGTTTTATGTTTGTATTTTAGTGAAATCAAGAGATTTAGACCTTTTTGCACCCTTTATAAACACGCATTTTACAGAAATGTGAAATTCGGTTTTCGCGCAATCTTGCACACTTAGCTATTTCTCAGTAAATACGAAACACCCTGACATAAAAATCGATACCCAACATTGCACATATCTGTACTATATTTGGTTAAAATTTCAGAGACCTATCTTTATTAGTATCTGAGAAAATTTGATTTTTATACGTGCACAGTTATAAGATTTGTTAAGTGTATCTTAAAACTCTAAATTTTTAAGCAATTCGGTGCAGACTATATGATTGAATAGTAGTAGACTACATTTTCAAGTAGGTGGATACTTCCCTACATGTTCAAGTATTTTGATTCAAGATGTTTGGATACTAGATTTTGAAGTTTTGAATTACACGTACTAGTAATGGATACCAGACAAGATTAAGAAGTAATTTTATTTCAAGTAAATGGATGAATAAATACTTTAGAGTAATGAATAACTCATTTACCACTTCTGAAGCCATTGATGTTGTCCTCTTCATCACAAATGAATGGATTTATATGTCATCATATGATTAGTCTATACATTTGTTATTTCCAAACCTATTCACAAGTTAATGTTGAATAGAGAAAATGTTTAATTAGGCTTCAACATCTGCTGCGTCTACTGCATCTGTCTACGGTACCGTTAAATTACCGCGTCTATGGTACCGTTAAATTACCGTGTGTACGGTACCGTTAAATTACCGTGTCTACGGTACCGTTAAATTACCGCGTCTACGGTACCGTTAAATTACCGTGTCTACGGTACCGTTAAATTTCCGTGTCTACGGTACCGTTAAATTACCGTGTCTACGGTACCGATAAATTACCGCGTCAACGGTACCGTTTAATTACCGTGTCTACGGTACTGTTAAATTTTCGCGTCTACGGTACCGTTAAATTACCGCGTCTTCGGTACCGTTCAATTACCGTGTCTACGGTACCGTTAAATTTCCGCGTCTACGGTACCGTTAAATTTCCGTGTCTACGGTACCGTTAAATTACCGCGTCTACGGTATCGTTAAATTACCGCGTCTACGGTACCGTTAAATTACCGCGTCTACGGTACCGTTATATTACCGTGTCTACGGTACCGTTAAATTTCCGTGTCTACGGTACCGTTAAATTACCGTGTCTACGGTACCGTTAATTTACCGTGTCTGCGGTACCGTTAAATTACCGCGTCTACGGTACTGTTAAATTACCGCGTCTACGGAACCGTTAAATTACCGCGTCTATGGTACCGTTAAAGCATATCATGCACAATAATAATAGATTATGTTGTCTACTCCCATTACGTTATTATAATAACTTGTTATTGATTTCTATTCACAGTGGTGATTGTGTCATGTTGCGTTCTTCTTGTTGCAACTTTAGCTGCAATGGGTACATTCCTCTACTTTAAGCCCAGGTAAAACATCAGATTTAACAAAACTAGATTTATTTCTTAAAAGCTGGCAAACATTTATGAAGTCGCGGCATTGACATTTGGTTAACGAGTCGAAAGTTCGTGAAGTTCCAAACCTTACCAAGGGCAAGCCGTTTTCTTCTTTAGCAAGAAACTTTATTTGCTGTGTAGTATTGGTTGTATCCAGGAACGTATTCGAGGATTTGTCTTTAAGCAAATAGCTTCCTACACAATCAAATTTAATGAAATCCTGTTCAAACAAATCATGAAGAAAAAGAAAATCTCATTTCTAAATGATCAAGCTTACAAACATCACCTTAAAATTTCAAGTACGATGAACAATGTCTTATAAGTCAATATGAACCAAACTTGTCATTAACAAATTGAACCTCAAGATGTGACATTGTTTGAAAAGGCGCATCAAATAATGAACGATTTTTCTTACGTTTTCAGGCTTTACTATGCTTCAGTTACAATACTAATTAGCATGAATGACAACGTATGTAAGATCATACATATACTTATATATACATATATATATGTTATTTCAGATCGCCAAAAATCGGACCTGAGATACAAAAAGGCGACATTACTTACATTAAGCCTTTTACAGTTGAGCCTGCTGTAGAATACGGCCCATCTAAACCTGTTTTTGATATACAACCTATCGGCAATGGGAAGAAATAAAATGTTGATTTACTAAACATATTTACAACGACATTATTATAAATCGACTTCCAAAAGTTGTTGCTTACTTTGGAGAAAATAATAAGTAGATTCATGTGAAAACAATATAATAAGAGATTGCAAACTTTGCATTATTTTATGATTTTATTAGCTAAATTTTGGTTATAGTTGAATCAAAACTAAATGATACGGTACGTTTCGTTTGTAATTAATGTAATGTATTAAACATCTTTGAATAAATGTATATATAAAATGGTCATACGGCATCAAATCCACAAGTGAGTATTTTTAGCTATGGTCCTTTCTAAATTAAGAGATGTATTTAAAAACAAAATGCCGTCATTTTGTACTGATTGGTTAGATTGTAATGAAACTTAGCATTAATGAATATGATAGTAAAAGAAATGATGTTCATCATGTAAAGTGTGCTGTACTGAGTAATGGCCGTTAGTTACTTTAAAAAAGGCATTTTAACTATACAAATTAGCTAGATTTAAATATTATTTGGCATAAATGCGTGTTTCAAAATGTATATATTCATAAGTGTGTCATTAAGTTATGGTTCTTTTAAACTAAACATTAGTCAGGGTTTTTTTGGTTTTTTTTGTTGTTGTTTTTTCTTCTTTGTTGTTGTTGCTTGTTTTTTGTTTGCTTTTTTTTGTTTTTTTAATTTGTTGTTGTTTTTGTTGGGTTTTTTTTGTTTTTGTTTTGTTGTTTTTTTTTTGTTTTTTTTTGTTTTTTTTTTGTTTATTTGGGTTTTCTTTGCAATTTTTGTTATAGGTTGTTTCTTTTTAAACAAAATTGATGTAGATTTCTTAGTTTAGAAATACAGTTTATAAAGCAAACCATCTCTTTAGAGTCGAACAAGAGTTTACAAGAGAATACAACATTTTTTTATCCATTTATATTTCACAAATTAATCGGAATCTGTACCTAACTGCATGGTTATAGACTTAAGGATCTTTGTTAAATTATGATTCTTTAAAAAAATGCGTTGTATCATTAATACATAGGTTAACAAGTAGAATTGTAAAATAAATCAGAGTTGTTTTTATAAACCACAGCCAACTCATTCTGGTCTTACCTGATCATTTAAGCATGAATTCGAACCCATTCACTACTGTTTACTTACACATATCATGGCAATTTTAATATGTTACTGTCATCTCAAAAAAAAAGTCAATTTTGTGTTATAAGTAAAAAGTAAAAAAAGTACCAAATCAATTATCGGTTCATAATACAACGAAACTTCTATCAAGTTATCTTTTTTATTCGGCGAGGGATATTAATTCAGTGAATTCGTTTGTTTCATTGCATATATTATGCTTTATATAATAATTAGTTCTTATAGAATATATATAGGATATTGAATGAGTTTAGATTAAATATTAAATTTATTGAACGATTTGTATAAATTCATATTCTGCCAGCCTCTGGCAAACATAATATTGATTTAGTCAACAAGTTCAATACATTTAGTATTTAATCTACACGTATATAATATTTTATTTATCACATATCTAATATAAAAAAACGGTTTACAGTTTCGAAAGGGTCATTTTTCTTTGATGCACATATAGTGTAACGCTAATATAAGTGTGCTTTAACGCTATGTAAGTATACAACGATGACTTCACGCAGAAGTGTTATAATACTTGTGTAATATCGTCTTTTTTAAAAGTGATGAATAAAATGTTTTAAACTATTTGCTTCTTACCTGACCATGTCTATTATATGCTTCTGTAGAAATTCTGAAAATAAAAACATATTTTGTTATATAATTTTTGTTTATGATGTCTAATAATGGTTATTAGAAACAGAAAATATGAAAATCATGTAAATGATTATGAATCGGACTTACTAAGGTTTATTCACGGCTTTAGAATGTTTCGAATGTAGGATAAGGTTGACTCGTATATAACTTCTTATTTTTTGTCATGCTGCTTGCCTATACAGCGGTCCTTTACATATTCTGCATGCTCAGTCTTTAATATTAGGATTAGGGATCGAACCTAAGCATCACCATTTCATTCAGAAATTTTAAATTTACTCATGGGTGGCAGTCACATAATCAATGTGAGGCACGAATCAAGGCTCCCTCAAATCTGTTTTCCTTGCGACTATAGATATTAAGACCTGGTTTTAATAAATGATCGATCTTTATAGCTGACCTTCTATTCTTGTTTTTCACTACCTCTGGACCGAATGATACGTGAAACATGCTTGATTACGAAGTATTCAGTGTATAGTGTTAACTTTTCTGAACTGTATAAGTACAGCATTGGCGATCGTTGTCTATGATGGTAGCATTACAAGACTTTGTTATTCCGCGGGATTGGATCACTCTCACCGAGATTACTCACTCGTCCTATCCGACTCCCAACACAACGAATTCACAGAGTCCAAATGTTAAAATTAAAAAAAAAGTCAAATACTCCTTAATACTCTTTTCTTGTATTCTAGTATTCAAGTTCGGTATCCCTCAGACATACGCTAACCTACCTCTGTGTACGTTGGGCAACCGGTACTAGTACCAACGCAAAAAAATCCAATTTACATAAAATTTCCGAGTTATAAAGTGCGAGGTCGAATTCTTGAATCTCGACTACGAGTTTGGAGGCCACCAACTAGTTCATCAAGCAATTTTCATAGTATTGCAAACAACCCATAAGTCCCATACCGGTAAGAACCCCGGGAATATTCTGATGGGTCATTGCCATTGAATGAATGAATATCATGAATGAACTGAAATCTTTTGAGTTCTAAGTTTGTCTATATCATAGTAATGAACTAATTTTCCCTGCCTTGTAAGGAAATTATGTTTATCAAAAGATACAATTTTCTCAGGATGAATATGTATAACTTATGTTTTAACTTTTCTCTCTTTTAAAAAATTTTGTTGGAAAAGATCTTTAAAAGTGATCTCAGGAAACAGTTTTTAGGAATGGACAGACAGTCGGAGTGAAAGACACTCAGAGTGTAAATCTTTAAACATTCCTGGAAGTTACGAGAATATAAATTTTCAAAAGCGACTCTTAAACTAAGAGAAGATTACTCTTGGGATAAAGATGCTAGACTTATTAACATTGTCAGTCATGATGTTAGTATAAAGTTTAAAGAAAATATTTATAGTCACAAAGAAGTAGTGAAAAAATAAATATACCATTTGTAGTAGCAGAGAAGAAAATTAAAAAAGAAATTCAAATAAAATTTAAGCTCAAAATGAAAATAATCATGGAAAACCACGACCTATAAATCTAATCACATATGATGTAGGTGTTGATAATGAATATATTATTTAAAATTTAAAAAATCAAAGATTAAGGAGGAGATATTTCTGGAAATATGGACGCTAGATTTATAATCCTTGTCATATTATATTGATTACGTGGGAGTGTGAAGTAAATGCTATAAGAAATGAAGAAGTTTAAGTACAAACATAATAATTTCTAGACAATCTAAAAAATCTAAGTTCAAAGGGGATATAATTCTGGAAAAAGTCAGAGTCTTGAACCTTCTCACAAATGATTTGAGTGATAATAAGAAACATTGATATTAAGTTTGAAGTAGAAACATTTAGAAATAAAGAAGACATAAAACAACATCATTTTTCTTGAAAATTCTAAGGTCAATGAGTTAAATTGACCATTTTCAGTCGATTTGTTACCATAGCAACCAATGTTTTCAACATAGGAAGAAAAGAAAAACACGTGCATAATCTGAAGACCGCCATCCACCAATATATCATATAAATATTTTCATGGATCTCGGGATCCAGTTTTGTGAACAGAAGGACTGACAGACAGACAGACGGACGGAGTGTAAACCTAAAGCCCCCTCCGGTTAAACCGGTAAAGGACTAATAAGGGATATCGTACGCACAACTTTGTAGTGCCTGGCAGAATAGGAATCGGGGGTTGTGATCATAAAATAAAGTGTCTCATGATAAAATGACTGGATCTTTCAGATGGCACTACAATAAGCACACATTTTGTCGTCTCTATTTATTGCTCATAATAATACAAAAATAACCACAAAGTTCGAAAAATATATATATTTTCTATTTTGCCCAAACCATGTATAGTTTGGAAGCTCAATAGTATCATTACCCAAAAAGTGTGTTTCTGATATACCTAAAATGTCTAAGTCTAAATATTGTATACAATTGTTTCTTAAAATAAAATTGTCTGAAGAGGAATCTTTGCACCATCCACGAACGTTCCAGAAACCTGTTGTTAATTCATGTTACGCTGTTCCCTTCGAATTTTATTCCATTTACCTCTAGCATAATCATTGTCCTGTCTACCTGAAAAAGAACCAAGTCTGTTATTTGCTTTATATTTGTTATTAAAACTTGTATGGTTACTCCCACTATAGTCACTTTTTTCTCTGTTGTTAATATTTCTTGAACTTCTATCATATTCCTGTCCTGGAATGACCACTTTCCTGTTTCGAATACTCATCCGAGCGACCACTGTCAGATTGTTTTTTGTAATTATGTCGGTTGTTCTCAGAGACATTGTCAAAGATCTTATTGTCATGTAATTTAATATCATGGCCCTGATCACGTAGACACCTGACAAGAGTGCGCAAATTGTTATTTTGAGTCCTCTTATTTGCCGGTAAGTCTCTATCAATGAATACACGTCTATATTGATTAGAGTTTTTCAACATATTCTTATGTTTTAGAACCTTTTTTAATCATTATCTGTCTGAAAGGTTGCAATGATTAGCCCTGGTTTTGATCTGGAGTCAGTTGATTTTCGAACAGCATTGACGACCCTTATATAAGGCAGGCAAACACCACCCTTTAATAGGTTATTTACCTTCGTATTCACGTTTATACCATCATGATACTGCAGCCCACGAATAACAATGTTAAGGGATTGCTTATTACAGTAAGTTTCACCTTCATTTACCCTATCTTTAAGTTCCGAGACTTTCTCTTCAATAATTTTCATATCAGTGGCTATCTCATCTTAAAAGTACTGAATTTTTTACTCAAAATCCTTTTTTACCTTATTTATTTCAACGTTCATCCTTTTATCAAATATACTGGCTATCTTCTGCACCATTTTAGCCTCTAAAGTGACCTCTAATCGGTCGATTCTTTGATTTAAACTGTCACTAAGGCCAGCTATGTTATCATTCAATTTCACAACTAGACTAGACAGAGTGGCAAAACTGTGACTTTCATTTACAGATTCAGAAGTTGCCAAATGCTGACCGGCCTTTGATTTTGGGGTATTGCCATATTATAGCCTTCTTCCTGACATTATATCACATGAAACGTCATTTTTATAACTTTCTTTTGGAGTCAGTGAGTCTTGGTTAGTCTCTTCCACTTTTCTTTTCTTTTTACTACCGTAATACTGCGAATCACTATTAGAGTCGCTGTGATGACGCGTCCTGCCATTTGCAGGAGTTATTGGAACTGTAGTTGTTCTAGAAGATACCTTACATGCGTCTTGGTTATTATTAAATCTTTGTTTATCTGAGACTGGTCGATACATCATAGTCATTAATTGGAACGAATAAAAAAACACTAGAAATCATATAAGTGATCTATTTGGTGCATTGACTGATGATTAATATAATTAACAGCTCAAAATTAAATATTTAGATATCAAAATATTATAAATTTAATT